AACATTGTGCCTTTCATTGAATTTTTATCATTCTCTCTAATTCTGCAAGTAATCTGTTTCCTACTTCTCATCTGCAGGATGATGGGGGAAGATAAGGACCAGAAGGAGAGAATGTTTTCTGATGATGATGATGAAGACGACAAGTTGGGAAGAAGAGTTGTAGGACCTCGTAAAAAATTTCACTGGAATGATGAGATCAGGTTCAATATGTTGCTTGCTTTAATAGACTGTATAAGGCATTTGTATCAGTAGTATGTTTATGAACTGCAACTGGATAAAAATATAATTGTGGATTATATGTGTGTTTTATATGATAACTTGGTATGAGTTATTGTTTGATGTGTCTGCGTATCAAATCATTCAAATTGTGCTACTGTTTTAGTGTTCCATTACTGGAGTCACTGGGGAAACAATGAGTGAAGTGAGAGTGCATAATTTTGGCAATTACCAGAATGGACCGTTGATAGGCAAAATTGGGGAGGAGATCCCTGAATGACCTCAGAATTTAGGTTAGAGGTGTACACTTAATGCTGTATACATAAATATAATATAGAATGATTTGGAAGGAAGCTAAATGCTTTTCATAGATGCTGCCAGACCTGCTGAGTTTCTCCAGCACTTTGTGTTTTTATTTCACATTTCCAGCATTTGCTGTCTTTTACGTACCACAAGCATAGTTTTGGTGAGAGAAGACAAGTTGTTTAAATTTTTGGGTCTATAAGAAGTTGTGAAGCCCTTGAAGATGACAGTAACAAATGATGCACCAAAGTGTGAAAGAGTCACATGTAACATCAGTAAGAAATGGAACATGCAAGATGAAAACAATGTTAGAATTGATGAGGAAGTGCAGAATTCTATTAATGTGGTGGATAATTTGAAAATCAGCAGTTTCTGTAATTTTTAGAAATTTGTGGCTGGAAGGAAAGACTGCAAGTCCAATTAGGCAGTTTTTGGAAAGTTAAGAGGATCACTTTGTTTAAAAATATATCAAATTTTCTTTGTACATGCTTTCTAAGGAGCAGGAAAGGTGGTCTGGGAGTAATAGATAAGAGATAAATTAGAAACAAAACGGGAGGTATTTATTTCAATCTAGGAAAGAGGTGTGGTTAGCATTGGAGGTCTGGGAGTTTGATAGTTGTGGTAGAGACAAAGCTTGATCTTATTCCTAACCGAAGGACTGAATGGACCCATGGTTGGGGGTGCTTTAGTGAGATTTGTAAATGATGATTTTCCTTCCTCCAAATCTCCATGTATGACATTAAACCAGTGAATGCTGAACTTCTGGAAATGCAGACGTTTTTCCATGTGCTGTATTCACTGTGTACTCTAAACATTTTCAAGTCATGTACACAATGACATAGACTTGTTGCAAGTTAAAATCATCTGCAGAAACAATAGGGTATTTTCTTTCTTTGCCATACAGATAGTAATAAAAACAATTAACTATCCATTATAGAAATCACCCAATTTTTATACAATTATTCTGCTTGTGGTGGTGATAAACTTTTCCGTGTGCCCTGACTACATAGCTTAAAATAGCACTCTGTATTTGTAATATTTTTGATTGGTTTATTTGTGCTGAATTATTGGCGTTTTTGTGTAATGAATACACAATTGTAAATGATTTGAAGCTGTGTAAACACATTTTGCAGTACCTCTTGGACGTAGGGGAGACATTTAAATCTGGACGTGGGCTTTCCTTTATTCTACCTGCCAATGTTTTCTCATGTACTCTTACCTTTTCTAATTTTCTCCCTCACCCCCACACTTTTAATACTCCTTTAGGGACTCCCTTTGAGCTCTCTATATCTGAATGAATCACCTTCATGTTATACATAGGAGTTCATATTTAGAGCACCATCCCTTCTCATGGACGCTCCAGATTTTGTGCAAGCAAGAAGAATGAGAGAGTTCATGTAATTTAGTTACATTTTTAAAATATGTTAATATGCCTTTGAATGAAATTCAGCAATGCTTTAGCTATATTGATTGCGCAGTGTCTTTTGCTTCAAATAAATGGAACATTTCTATGCATGGATCAGAAATTTGCATTTAAGTTACAGTTGGAACACACATACTGAGAAAATAGAACATGGTAGGTTTTCTCTGGGCCCTACCTCTTTACACTTATTTCTTACATTGTGCTACAGAGAGCTGCTGTGCAGTGTGGTGAGGACTAAGATGGCGTGCTGTGAACAGGAGAGAAACAAGTCCCAGTCTGCAGAGGACTACCTAAAGGCTTTTCTTGAATCTGAAGTCAAACCACTTTGGCCTAAAGGATGGATGCAAGCAAGGTACATGGCAAAGGACAGTAAACAATGTATGCTTCAAGTGAAGTTAAATGTCACTGCATAAAGAGCTGTTAAATGAGCATCCTGCAAAGAATGAGAATAAGCCTCCAGAAGAGGCAAGGTAGAGCAACTGTATGTGCTCGGCAAGGCTGTTCTGCTCTTCCTCTGATCCAAGACCAGTCCTTTTCTTGAACTGGACCTGGAAAGTGAAGAGATAGGCAGTGGTTGACACTTCATTGCAAGTTTAACAAAGAGATGAGTGTGTTCTCAAAGTAAGACAGCTTTGTCAGAATATGTGCATGTTGGAAGAAATTTTAGTAAAGAAGTGCCAAGATAGCAAGGCACCAATAGTCTCAACTATGGTAATATTTCTGACTTGCAGCTTATCCAGGGTAGATTTTTCCATGAGGTCATGAATGAATGAATGGTTTCTGTCCTCCTGAGAGTTTCTGGTCCATTTTTTAATGTTCCAATTAGTCTTCCAAGTTATGTCCTGCACTGATGAGAGATTGTGAGGCTGTGACTGTGCTTGAATTGTTAATAGTGTGAAATATGGCACCAGTTTGAGGAAGTTGGGGAAAGATAGTTACGTAGTGTTTGGTTTCCCCGTAGCAGCTGAAAGAGGTTGAAATATATTGCTGTAATTGTAACACAGCAATTGAGAGAAAGCTCAAGTGGAAATATTTACACGACTGTTGGAAATGTGGGAAACAATATAGTTAATTGCGTAGTGTTCTCAAAGAATTGACACTGGCAGTATGCTCCAAAAGAACATATTTTGTGCTCTCCTGTTCCACAGCTCCTGGACTGTAGAACTGTAGTATAAGAGAAATGGCAGAGTCTCAAACCATAGCTTTGCAATGCTCCTTAAGTTTTTGTTTTAATATAGAATCACAACCAGGTCTTGGGTGCAGTAATCCTAGAATTCACCTGCACTGTGGTGAGTAACTTGGCTTGGTGCACTTCTGCCATCAGGAGGATATAACTGGTCCTGTCTCAGGCTCAACATCATCACTGCGGTGTAAGAAAATTAGTCTCTCGTTCCAGTGTCTCTGTTTAACATTTTTGACTGTAATGGAAAGGATTTGGTTGGTTACATGTTTAATAATCCTAGAGTACCTTTATTACTGCCTCCTTAAATTTGTCTGCTATAACTATACACAAACCTAAAAGGAAAACTATGTTAAAGCTTTAATGATTTTAAATGTAAGTTATATTAGCTATGTTAAATGTGTCTACCTGATTTTGGTGTGTTCATTGCAAATACATGTTTCATTCTGAGCAGAAAAGTCTGGAACTACTCAACAGGTCAGAATGCATCTGAGACAATCAGAGTTAATATTTTTGGGTTGATTTCCAGCATCTGCAGTTCTTTGCTTTTGCATTACTGAACAGTATTTAAATATGATGATTGCACCATCTGTGGTGTTCTACAGCCTTTAGCTGTATTACGTTTACGTTTGCCTGAAATCCAAAAGAAGGTAAAATCTTAGCTCAAAAATGATTTGCAAATCAGATGTCATGCATAAATACAACCTTGCAAAATATTTCATAAAATGATATTGCAGGTAAATCCAAGGCTTAAAGTTATGCTGGTGGTGTTATAATGCTACAGGATTAAAAATGATTAAGCATGTAGTTCATCAGCTGTGTCTCCCTTTTTTTTGCCTTCCACTGATGCTTGCCAACATCTTCAGTGTGCACACTCTCAGCTGGAAAATACTTGAAGCAATTTCTGATGGTGGTTGTAGCATGGCATGGACATTGTACTAGGTTGTGGCAAGTTGTTTAAAAAAAGGTTTCACAGTCTGCATAGTATGAAAGTAAGGGAAAAAGGCATATATTTAGATTTATTTTTCCTCAACAGAACATTATTCAAAGAGAGCAGGAAGGTACATGCTCATGTCACCTCAATACCGTGAGTATTTGCATCATCAGTGCTCCTGCGCATTTACTGTGCTTTGGTTTTTCCCAGTACAAGCAACTTTGGTAATGTGTTAACTAACCCTGGCAGTGAGAACCTCATTCATGTAATAGTTTAAGCATGCAGAAGATTAAAGCTAATGGTATTAGTTAAATGTCTGCATTGTAATTTATTGGAGTGACTTGCTTGTTCTTTATCGAACCTGCCTAATTTTAATTCCATTGATATCCACTTCAGTGGTTTGCCACACACAGTGAAAACCAAAACCACTCTTTGTGCTAAATTTTGCAATGACACATCATTGTGGAAAACATCCATGTTCACCCGTTTGACACGATGACCAATCACATCCTTGTGTTGCTTAGTACAGCAACAGGGGACCATAAATAATTTGGGGAAAAGAACTGTAACCTCTTTTTTTTTCTAGTATTTCAATTTTCCCTCTTGCCCTCCTCCTTCTTTCGTTTGTGAAACCACCATCCTGGGCACTCTACCCGAACTCAAATCATAGAATCCTTACAGTGTGGAAACAGGCCCTTCAGCCCAACAAGTCCACACCGACCATCAGAGCATCCCCCCCGCAGACCCATCCCCCTATAACCCACCTAATCTACACATCCCTGAACACTAATGGCAATTTAGCATGGCCAATCCAGCTAACCTGCACATCTTTGGACTGTGGGAGGAAATTGGAGCACCTGGAAAATCAGTTGTACAGTTCCCTTTCCTGGGTTTCTCTTCAGCCCTTTGGAAGCAATTTGGCAATGTTTCAGTATGGATTGGTTCCTGGGTGAGCAGGTTGTCCTGTGAATGTGACATCAAATAAATTGGGCTTATACTGTCTGGAGTTTAGAAGAACAACTGGTAATCTAATTGAAACATATGCAAGATTCTGAATAACTTTGACTTGCAAGATACTGAGAGTTCGTTTCCATTGGCTGACGAAATTAGAGCAAGTAGGCACAGGCTCAGGAAAAGGGATTGATTGAGATGGGGGAAAAAATTCCCACTGAGTGGACGATGAATTCTTAGAATTCTGCCCAATACAGATTTGTGGATGCTCAATCTTTGAGTGTATTTCAGGCTGCAATAGGTCTTTCATGGAATTGAGGGATAAGGGAATAGGTGTAAACGTGGAACCGAGGCAAAGGATCCACCATGATCATCTTGAATAAGTGAAGCAGGCTCGATGGGCCAAACTGTACTACACCCATTTCCTTTTCTTATGATGGTCTAACCTTTCTCCCTCCCTCCCTGTCCTGGTCCATTTAACAACATTGCAGCAGTGCACAGTTATTAAAATTGATTTTTAACTTGGCATTATTCAATGTGAAATTGATGTTACGTTTGAAATTGTAATTTTGAAGTACTAGACAACTGTATATAGATAACTATACTGACACTAGTTGCACTTTAATTTAGAACGAAGAAGAAAGTCATTGCTGCCCCAAAGACTAAAATAAAGGTAAGTGTGCAGCATTGTTGGAAGCATGAGATGCATACTTGAAAAAATATTGCAAATCCTCAGAAAATTGGCTTTTTAAATCGCAAGTGGTGAAATTTTATTTTGCAATGATGCTCCTTAGTTTAATGGTTGGCTAAACTTGAACAGTTTAAATTTAAACTGGGTTGAATTTAAAATACTGTATTTCACTCCAATAAATAAAATAATTAAATCATTTAATTGTGAACCTGTTCCATTTTGTATCGGAGCTTAAAACTTCATTCTGGCTCTATATATGGAAATGTTCTCTGAACATTCGGATACTTGCTTTGGCACACACAAAATTTCAATGAATATGATTATTTAGAAAGTACATCAAAAGTATTTAATAAATGCAGATGCGGGATTCTGTAATTTCAGGAATTGACATAATAGTGAAATTAACCTTTTTGGTGCATCCACTTCATCATTCTTTTAGGCAGGAGTTTTGCTTTGTGACCTCACTGCACAGCGTTAAGGCACCTTCAAAGAAAAGGCTAGCCATTGCTGTACATTCAAAAAGCCTAATTAAAAAGCACTAGTTGATGTGAAACAAGTTTTAATAAAGGGAAAGTCACAAACAGGAGGTTGCAGCTGAATATTGCAGAGAATGCAAAATTGATACTCGGGTTGTGGGATTGGCATGATTTTAGTTAAAATAATAATACTCTTTCCTAGAGGCATTTTAGGACAGGCATTCTAAATAATTACTGTCAAGAAATGTTACAAGAAATATAGTAGAATCATAATTTTTGATTCCACCTTTTAGTGCCCTGAACAACTCAGCTGGGGAAATGGAAATAAAGTACCCCTTTATGCTGAAGGTGATTACTTTATGCTACTGACATGACAATGAAAAGCTTGAATAGTTATTAAAATGTAATTTTAATTAAGTTTAAGACCAGTTTTGCACAGATACAAGATACTAGTTATTACTCCACCACACACAATCAAAATCTAAACCAAACTGTTGAACAGACTATTTTCACATAATACAATGTCTGGTCTATGTAGCAAATGAAATGTTTATCAATTCCATTTTGCAAATCAATACAATTTAGAGGCAATAGTAAAAAGAAAAATCATTTTGACAAATGTTACGGGATGAGGAATGCAATGCAGCATAAATCTATCTTTCAACGAATTCAATATAAAAATAACTTCCTTCTTTTACAGGATCAAATGCTCAAGACTGAACGTAAATTGCAACAGACAAGTACCCCAATTCATTGCAGTAATGCTGGGTCCATCATACAAGGATCATGCACTCCACCTGTCACCCCAGTAAATGTGCCCGTTTCATCCAGTGCTGCTAAGAGCTCCAGTAATACGACAACCCCTCAGTCTTTCAGTTTAGATGATTCCCTTGAGGATTTGCCCAACAACCAGCCTTCTCTGGAAGATGTTTCTGTCGCTTTAGCTGCTCTCAATGATGCTGCAGGAGGCACCAAGAGCTTCAGTTCTTTAGTATCAAATTCATTGAGTGACATAGTAACAGTGGCAACGTCATCAGAAGAAAAGAAACATGTGCAAAAAGTTCAGACTCTCTCTTCTGCTCCGTCAGCTGCTGCTCAGTCACATTCACCGCTCAATCTCCTGGCGGAGCAAGCACTAGCTTTGGGACAATTGTCTCAGGAAAGGACTTCAGAAAACGCCACTAGTCTTATCACTGCCTTTAAAAATCATTCTTCTGCAAACAGCAAAAGTTTCACAGAGACTCTCCAAAACAAGCCGAAGCATCTTGGTATGCAACGTACATCGCAATCCCAAGCTCAAAACCAAGTGTCAACACCGGCTGCAAAACAGTACCATCAGACCACCTCGCACCAGAAAAACTTCATATCATCACCATCTTTTAGCATAAGTAAGCTGCAGAGTAGTTCTCAGACTAAAGCTAGTAGTCAATTGCAGCAACGACCATTAATTCAGCATCTAAAAACCTCAGCAAAGACTCAGAACTTCCATTCTGTTTCCTCATCTTTAGCAAGTATTATACAGACTTCTCCCAGTCCTCAAAGAACGCTTGGCACTTCAGTGACTTCTGTCAGTTGTACAGCAAAACATATCAACTCTCAGAGCTCTGCAAATCAGACCTTCAAGTCTCCAATGACTGTTGTCACAACAACAAAACATTCTACTCCTTCCAGTAATCCAATTCAAAACATCTCAAATGTTCAAACTTCTGTGTCCAGTAGTACTCAATTAAATAGACAGTCACCATCTCCAGGACAGGCATTAAATCGGCAATCACCTAATATAAATGTAAAGAAGCCTTCCATTTCTCAGAAACTTACTCTAGTTGCCCCTCCGGGGGGTAATAATGGAGATTCCAGTAGTGGGACACAGGGTGTTGCTAAACTGCTAACTTCTTCTCTTAAATCTTCTGCTGTTAATAGTTCCACAGCTACAGGAGCAATGCTGGTAAGTGTAAACAGGAATGTACAGATTTATTTTTAAAATATGCATAGTTTTAATAACTACCATAAAGATTATAAGTTGATGTATTTGATTGGATTTTAATTGTATGCCGATATCCGTTGCTATCTGAAGATCCTGTTGTTTGGCTTTAAATTATTTCGTTATGCCAAAATTACCTCTTATTCTAATTAAGTTTTGCTTCATGGTCACAATTGGTTATTTTGTGCATTAGAACATTATAAAATATATACCTCTGGTCAGATTTTATTTTTCTGAAATCTTTATGTATTTTGGTTGTATATGTTGTTTTATTGTGTTCTAACTTGCTGATATTCTTCCTTAATTCAAGTCCTTCCTTTTAACCTGTAAGGATCCACCAAGTTTCCTGTAACAACATTCACTTGTTGGATGAGATTTACCTGTGAATCTGCAGAAGTTTGGTGCTTGCACTTGTTAATGTTTTGTCCATCTTTGCCATTTAATGTCATTGCAGTTGTGTTTCTAGTCATTTAATCATAAAGCTGAATTGAGAAAACTGTTTTGAATCATTTCACTTAGTTCTCAAAGGTATAATACATTATCGCACTGAGTTTGGTATTAATGTTTCAATTCAACTTCGAGATTCTCGTCTTTGCTTTCAAATCCCTTTGTGACCTCACTCCTCCCTATCTTTGTAATCTCTTTTTATCAGTCTGCACTGTTCTTATTCTGGCCTCTTGCACACCTCCACTTTTAACTGCCACACCATTGATGGTTTTACCTTCAACTGATAGAAGCTGTGGCATTTGTTCAAGTTGCTGTGCAAATGTTTCTTGATCTGTCTGGCCAAGGCCCATGTGCATGTTCAGGATTTCTATCCCGTACAAGTAATAATTAGCGTAGACTTAATGTTGTTGAACAAAATTAACCTTAAAAATGCATGAAATGTGGTTGGCAGTAGTGTTTCAAAGGAAAAGGCAATTTTTTTTTTCTGGTTGCTCTTGCATTTACCAGTCAAGAGTTAATGTTAATTCTGTACATCCTGTAATCTGTTGCACCGGCCAATTTTTGATTTGAGACTAATGCAAAGATGACAGATACTGTGGTTGAGATTACCTTCCAAGTTGTGTGGTGTTTTCTTTTACTAATGCTGCTCAAAACACTTCAGATGAGTGTTCCCTAAACAATACATGGATAAAGGATTACTGTGATCAGATGGTCTAAAAATGCTTACTTTAATTCTCAATTTTTTTTTCAACCCTTCTGTTTTCATGATTTGGCTATCACTGACGACAAGTGATCTCTTGATGATCCCGGTTTTTCCAAATTAATGGTATTATGCTTTTATTTTGAATAGTGATTGTGAAAATAAGGAACTTTTGTAAGAACATGTCAAGACCGCGTGAGCCAGATTCTCATACATGGGTTGCAGTTTTCTTCCCTGAAGGCTGCTAGTGACCTAGACTGGTTTATACAACAATTAATCAGCTTTCATGGTCACCTTTTTCAGGTTTTAGTCTCCAAAATCACCCAAATTACTGAACTTGATTCACAACAGGCCATTGTAAGGCTTAAACTGAAGACTTTGTGGTTGGGGGAAGATTGGAATGTTCTGGGAATCCTGTTTCTGATAATTAATGTTCTCCAAGTTTCCCTGCTATAAAAATTCTTCTCTGGAACCAGTAACACCATTAAATCAAATATAATTATTAGCTGTTGTTGGGAGGACTGAAGCCATTGCCTTCAATCCCTGCCCCAAACTTTGTTCCATAGCTAGCTATTCCACCCCTCCCTCAACATTGGTATCCTATTTAAACTTGAGACGCAGTTCAGCTTCAGGTTCCTGTCATCACTAGGACCACCTCTTTTAACCACCATAACATTATCCCAGCCTCGGCTCTTCTGCTAAAATCCTCAACCGTGCATTTTTATTACATTGGAGGTGTCTTCTGACTGCTTCCCCCCATCTTCTATAAACTTGAGGTCATTCAAATCTTTGCTGATCTCTTAACTGATTGCAAGTCTTGATCTTGATTGCTGACCTATAGTAGGCAAAGTGTTGATTTTCAAATTCTCATCCTTGTTCTCAAATTCTTCTACAGCTTACATATCCTTTGCTTTTTCTGTCATCTCCTCCAACCCCACAACTTTCCATATTACAGCATTTCTTTAATTCTGATGTAATTACAGTTAATATTGTTTCACCATTTGTGGCTGTGCTTTTCAGTTCCCTAGGCTTCCCTCCCTCCCTAGTCCTCATCACCTCTTTATAAGATTCCTACAGGGATTGGTGCTGGGGTCACCGTTATGTACAATATATGTTAAATGACTTGGGTAAGGGAAGTGAATATACTATTGCCAAGTTTGCAGGTGATACAAAAGTGGGTGAGAAAACAAATGGTGAGGATGACACACACTGTCTGCAAAGAATTGCATATGATGTGGGGAAATGAGGTTATTTTTGGCAGGAAGAAGAGAGGGCTGGATATTATTTAAGTGGAGAAAATTACAGACTGAGATTTTCGAATGTACATGAATCACAACAAGTTAGCAAATGGGTAGGCAAATGTCATATTGGCCTTTATTTCAAAAGGAATGCAGTATAAAAGTAGGGAAGGCTTGCTAAAATTATACAAGGCAGTTGTCAGACCACCGCTAGAATATTGTGAACAAGGAGAGTTATATCGGCATTGAAGGCAGGAGGAGGTTCAATAACCTGATCCTGGGTATGGAGGGATTTTCTAATGAGGAGAGGTTGAGTTATTTGGGCCTGCACTCATTGTCTCTCACCCTTCTAAATTACAATCTTATTGAAACATGCAAAATTCTTGGAGGACTTGCAAGGTGGACGTGGACAGGTGGTTTCCCCATCTGGGAGTCAGAGATGCACAGCGCGGAAACTGACACTTCAGTCCAACTCGTCAATGCCGACCAGATATCCTAAATTAATCCAGTCCCATTTGCCAGCATTTATCCCATATCCCTTTAAACCCTTCCTATTCATGTACCCATCCAAGTGTCTTTTAAATGTTGTAATTGGAGAGTCTAGCATCAGAGGATATGATCTCTTAATAGGAGTCACCCATTTAAGACTGAGAGGAGGAGGGATATATTCTCCGAGGGTAGAGATTCTGTGGAATTCTTTACTGGAGGGGCTAGGTCATTAAGTTTCTTCAAGGTTGAGATAGATTTTTAACCAGTAGGGGAATTGAGGGTTATAGGAAAAAGGCAGAAAGGTGGAACCAAGGATTATCAGATCAGTCACGATTTCATTTAAAAGGCAGAACAGACTCGTTGGGCTGAAAGGAGCAGAAGCAAACCAATGTCTTCATGATCATTAAACACCACCTAAAACCTTCCTGTTTTACAAAGCCCTTGGAGATCTGATGTAATGCACTATTTCCTTGTAGTTTGGCAACACGCTTCATTTTATAATGTTCCTGTGAAGTGTCTAGAATGTTTAATTGTATTAAAGGCACAGTTTTCCCTCAACCCACATTTTTGCCTACCGTGACAATAGAGCAACTATTCATATTCATCTTTTGGACTTGCAATTCAAGATACTTTTGAGCAAATTGCAATGAGTTTGAGCATCAATGCAAAATAAGTGAAAGACTCAACCCAGGAGATCCTACATAAAGTAGGAGCAATGCCTATCAATCTTTGTCTCTTAGACAGGTTTAATACCATTGACTATAATTAAACAAATACATCCTCTATGATTGTAGCACGACATATATTGCATTGTCTTCACAAACAGGATACTTCTCATTGAGTACACTGTTTACAAGAACAGAGGAAATAAAAACAGGCTATGCAGTCCCTCAAATCTGTTCCACCAGACCAGCTGACCTTCCACCTTAATTTCAGTTTCCATCTAACTCTATATCTCACGATCTAAAGCTATCGCTTGGTATTTATTGTCATAATCCTATAAAGCACCAGTCATTTCAGACATGTCTGGCTGAACATTGCTATGGATCTGGATTAAAGTAGACCAGGTAAGGATGTGAAATTTCCTTCTCTAATGGTAAGCTGTGTCATGGTCACTGATCCCAATATCAGCTTTATATCTCGGATATAATATTCATTTTACATTCCATCTATTGCCGCAATGAGACTTGAACCTCTGTCTCCAATATATTAACCTGGTTTTCTGGACGACAAGATTGAGTTCTGAGCAAGGGTCACTGGACCCGAAACATTAACTCTGCTTTCTTTCCACAGGTGCTGCCAGACCTGCTGAGCTTTTCCAGCAATTTCTGTTTTGGTTTCTAGATGACTAGCTTAATGACCTTATCACAACAATATCTCTCCATCTAATAGATCTTTAATGTGGCCCTTTGCTGTCTAAACATGATAACTAAAATAACTATGCTGTCAAAAGTTCTTCACTACGAACAAGAAATAGCATTTACTTAATTACTTAAAATATTAACCTGTTAACCAGCACTTTTTCTTGGTGCTGTCATGTTACTTTCAAATTGTAAAAATAGTATGTGATCCAGGTTGCGTGCCACCTTAATTGTTTTAAAATTTTAAGCACTGACTTCAAATTGTCATTTATGTTGATATTTTCTATCTTTAGTCTTTGCAGGCTACCACAGGAGGAGCCTTACTTGCCAGCTCTCCATCTTTGAGTCTTCTGTCACCTTCCTTTAATACAGCAAACCAGAAAATAACTTCAGCAGCCCTGAACCAAGCATCACTTGGGATGATGCCAGGCATTGTACCTATGCACTTTACGTTTCCTACGGTTTTAACTTTAGGCTCAGACTCTACACCAAAATCTGCTGTATCAACAGATGCAATAGTCACGGGACCTGCCCCGGGGACATTCCACCATGGCCTTGCACATAGTAAGTTGTAAATTCTGGAGTTTCTGGAGAGTGAATCAAGAGTCACTTAGTTAGAGGTGACATTAGAGATCACATTGATCAAATTCTTCAAGACCATTGAAAAGAGTAAGAGTGCAGGAGTGTTATTTCCTTCAGCACAAGTCGAGATATAGTTATTATTATTCTGTTTAAAATTTGTTCATGTTTCTTGTTTAGAGAATGATTCTATTGAAGGTAAATGTTGATCATTTCACTTGAACAAATTGACTTATTTGAACTAGAATTGTGCTGTTAAAATCAGGTTCATCAGGTGCAAAAATTGGCATAAGAGCACTTTATCTGAATGCTCGGAGTATTTGAATCAAGGTAGATGAGTTGACGGTGCAAATCATGGCAAATGGGTATGATTTAGTGGCCATTACAGAGACATGGTTACGAGATGGTCATGACTGGGAGTTAAATATCCAGGGGTATCAAACTATTCGGAAGGACAGACAGGAAGGTAAGGGAGGTGGTGTTGCTCTGATTTTTAAGGATGATATCAGGGCGGTAGTGAGAGATGATATAGGTTCTACTGAACAAAACGTTGAATCCATTTGGGTGGAAATTAGGAATAGCAGGGAGAAGAAGTCACTGATAGGTGTGGCCTATAGGCCACCAAATAATAACATCGTAGTGGGGCGCGCAATAAACATAGAAATAGCTAATGCATGTAAAAATGGTACAGCAATTATCATGGGGGATTTTAATCTACATATCGATTGGTCAAACCAGGTCAGCCATGGCAGCCTTGAGGAGGGGTTCATAGAATGCATCCGCAATAATTTCCTTGAACAATATGTAATGGAACCTACGAGGGAGCAAGCTATCCTAGATCTAGTCCTGTGCCATGAGACAGGAATAATTAATGATCTCACAGTTAGGGATCCTCTCGGAAGGAGCGATCACAGTATGGTCGAATTTAAAATACAGATGGAGCGTGAGAAGGTTAAATCTAGTACCTATGTCCTATGCTTAAACAAAGGAGACTATGAAGGAATGAGGGAGGAGTTAGCTAAGGTAGAATGGGAGCAGAAACTTTATGGTAGGTCAATTGAGGAACAGTGGAGGACTTTCAAAACGATTTTTCACAGTGCTCAGCAGAAATATATTCCAGTGATAAGTAAGAAATGTAGGAAAAGAGAGAGCCAGCCATGGATGTCTAAGGAAATAAAGGAAAGTATCAGATTGAAAAAAAAACACATACAAAAAAGCAAAGTGTAGTGGGAAACTAGTAGACTGGGAAATCTTTAAAGGCCAACAGAAAGCCACAAAAAAAGTTATAAAGAAAAGTAAGATAGATTATGAGAGTAAACTAGCTCAGAATATAAAATCAGGCAGCAAAAGTTTCTATAAATATGTAAATCGTAAAAGAATGGCAAAGGTAAACATTGATCCTTTAGAGGATGAGAAGGCCAATTTAATAACTGGGAATGAGGAAATAGCCGAGACATTAAGCAGTTATTTTGTGTCGGTCTTCACAGTGGAAGACGCAAATAACATGCCGAAAACTGATGGCAAGAACGTTATAGCAGGTGAGGACTTAGAAACTATCATTATCACTAAGGAGGCAGTGCTGGGCATGCTAATGGGGCTAAAGGTAGATAAGTCCCCTGGCCCTGATGAAATGCATCCCAGGGTACTAAAAGAGGTGATGGGGAAAATAGCAAATGCAGTAATTATTTACCAAAATTCACTGGACTCTGGGGTGGTTCCCGCAGATTGGATAACAGCCAATGTGACACCACTGTTTAAAAAAGGAAGGAGACAAAAAGCAGGTAACTATAGGCCAGTTAGCTTAACTTCGGTAGTGGGGAAAATGCTTGGATCTATCATTAAGGAAGAAATAGCAAGACATCTGGATATAAATTGTCCCGTTGGGAACACCCAGCATGGGTTCATGAAGGGTAGGTCATGTTTAACTAATTTGGTGGAATTCTTTGAGGACATTACTTGCAGGGTGGACAATGGGGAACCTGTGGATGTGGTGTATCTGGATTTCCAGAAGGCATTGGACAAGGTGCCACACCAAAGGCTGCTACATAAGATAAAGTTGCACGATATTACAGGTAATGTATTGGCATGGACAGAGGATTGGTTGACCAGTAGAAAGCAAAGAGTAGGGGTAAATGGGTATTTTTCTGGATGGCGGTCAGTGGCTAGTGGTGTGCCTCAAGGATCAGTGTTGGGACCGCAATTGTTTACAGTTTACATAGATGATTTGGAGTTGGGGACTAAGTGTGGTGTGTCAAAATTTGCAGATGACACTAAGGTGAGTGGTAGAGCAAAGTGTGCAGAAGACACAAAGTCTGCAGAGGGATATAGATAGTCTAAGTGAGTGGGCAAAGGTCTGGCAGATGGAATTCAATGTTGATAAGTGTGAGGTCATCCATTTTGGTAGGAATAACAGCAAAATGGACTATGTTTTAAATGGTAAAAAATTGCAGCACGCTGCTGTGCAGAGGGACTTGGGTGCCCTTGTGCATGAATCGCTGAAGGTGGGATTGCAGGTGCAGCAGGTAATTAAAAAGGCAAATGGAATTTTGTCTGCCATTGCTAGAGGGATGGAGTTTAAAAACAGGGAGGCTATGCTGCAGCTGTATAGGGTCCTGGTGAGGCCACACCTGGAGTACTGTGTGCAGTTTTGGTCTCCTTACTTGAGAAGAGATATACTAGCACTGGAGGGGGTGCAGAGGAGATTCACTCGGTTGATTCCAGAGTTGAGAGGATTGGATTATGAGGAGAGACTGAGTAGACTGGGATTATACTCATTGGAATTCAGAAGAATGAGGGGAGATCTTATAGAAACATAGAAGATTATGAAGGGAATAGATAAGGTGGAGGCAGGGAGGTTGTTTCTGCTAGCAGGTGAAACTAGGACTAGAGGGCATCGCCTCAAAATAAAGGGAAGCAGATGTAGGACTGGGGTCAGGAGGAACTTCTTCACCCAAAGGGTTGTGAATCTGTGGAATTCCCTGCCCAGTGAAGCGGTTGAAGCTACCTCGCTGAATGTTTTTAAGGCAAGGCTAGATAAATTTTTGAACAGTAAAGGAATTCAGGGTTATGGTGAGTGTGCAGGTAAGTGGAGCTGAGTCTCAAAAAGATCAGCTATGATCTTATTAAATGGCGGGGCAGGCTCGAGGGGCCAGATGGCCTACTCTTGCTCCTAGTTCTTCTTATGTTCTTATTAATGATGTACCACTGTTGATTCCTGTCCTTCAATAACTCCTGGCCATTTCTCCCCAAAGATACTGTTGGTATTAACGTACTTAAATCATTGATAGAGGAGATTTGTTTTAGCATTTTTTTCTACATTGACAGACTAACATTACATGAGCAAAAATTTCCACTGAGTGAGCTTGTGCAGAAATCATTTAAAAGACCGTAGATAACCTGACTCTGGAATTTTGTGATCTTGAGTTTCTGGATCCAAGAATCTATTGTTAATGAAAACGTCCTGGCATAGGTAATGTCGATCGATTGAGGGGACATGCATTTGACTTGGTGCGCATTTGACGAGCCAGAGAGAAAAAGTCGAACCCTTGGGTCAGGAGCTACCTTGTAACATTTTTGAAACCAAATTCCATCATTCACCTTTAGTTCAGTCAGGCATCACTGTAATGATTCTGTAATTTGGCTAGGAACTGCTGACTTTGCAGCATATTTAGCTGCCTCCCCCACTAGCATCATGCATTTATACTATAGAGAAACGTTGGCCCAGTTGTCTAGTTACTGTCTCTGCCTGCTGCCACCCGCCACCCTTTCCAATGTTACAAGGTGGGAAACATGACTCTTATCTCCACAAATAAATAGCTACAAACCTTAGCAAAAAATGATTACTGCAGCCACACAGGTAGATTCATCTTGTCAAATTAGTTACTGCTAGGTGCATTTTCAAATTAGCAAAAACCACAGATACAAGTGACATATACCAGACCTCATAATCAAACTAAAACAAATACAAATAAAAGCAAAGCTTGTCTTAGCTAAAAACCGAAAGAAATGCGGATGCTGTAAGTCAGAAACAAAAATGGAAGTTGCTGGAAAATCTCAGCAGGTCTGGCAGCATCTGTGAAGAGAAATCAGAGTTAACGTTTCGGATCTGGTTCTGAGGAAGGGTCACCAGACCCAAAATGTTAACTCTGATTTCTCTCTCCAATGCTGCCAGACCTACTGAGCTTTTCCAACAACTTCTGTTTTTGTTGCAGGTTTTAGCTCTTGTTTTAATCATTTTGTCTTTCAGAACATAGCTTTGAATATTAATATTTTGTGGTTGTGAATGGCACTGACTAAAAAATATACAAATTAATTCCATTCATAAACTGTCCTTAGTTACAGTATTAAATGCAGTGTAAGTTATATGGAGTGGCAAAATAATCTTAAAAATGCATCTTCACCAATTTAAGAAATATAGTCGACCATAAGGCATAGGAGCAGAAGCAGACTGTTTTGACCCATTTGAGTCTGTTCCATCATTGGGAGCTCATGGTTGATCTGATGATCCTTAACTCCACTTTGCTGCCTTATCCCCAAATCCCTTGATTTTCCTTACTTATTAAAATTTGTCTATTTTAGCGTTGAATATACTAAACGACCAAGCCTGTATACCCTTCTGCAGTACATAATCTGTAGATTCACTACCCTCAGAAGAAATTCCTCTTCAAAAGAGTGACCCTTTTGAGATTGTACCCTCTGGTTCTCGGCTCTCCAACAAGAGGAAACAGTCTTTCTATAACTAACCTGTCAAGCCCCGTAAGAATCTTGTATGTTTTAGGAAAGTCGCCTCTCATTCTTCTAAACTTCAATGAGCACAGGTTCAACCTACTCCAACTCTCTCCAGAAGAATCCTCCATGCCCAGGATCAACCTAGTAAGCATTTTCTGGGCTGCTTCCAGTGCCAGTATAGTATTCCTTTGATAATGAGTAAAAACCATTCATAATCTGTGTGGTTTAACTAGCACCTTGCATTGTTATAGCAAGACTTTCTTAATTTTATGTTCCATTCCTTTTAGGTGAAAGCCACCATCAGTTGCCTTCCTGTTGAATTTGTGTGCTAGCATTTTGAGATTCATGCACGAGGACTAACAAATCTGTGCTGCAGCTTTCTGCAGTCTTTCTCCATTTAAATAATATTCACTTCCTGTCTTCCTGCCAAAGCGTACAACTTCTTCTCATTTTTCCCTTCTTATATTCCATCAGCCAAGCTTTTTGCCCATTCACTTAATCTGTCTTTATTCCTTGTAGACTGTCATCCTAACCACTTCCCTTTCCACCTGTTTTTGTGTCATTAAAAGAAACTTGGCAATAGTACGTTTCTTTCCTTAATCTAAATCATTTATGTAAATAATTGTAGCCCCAGCACTGATCTCTGTTGCACTCCACTAGTTATAAGTTCCCATCATGAAAATGGTTCACTTGTCTCTCTCTGTGTTCTATCAGTTAGCCAATTTCTATCCATTCCACTTTTCTACTCCCAACACCACGTGGTCTTAAGTAGCCTCATGTGAAATAGCTTATTGAATGCCTTTTGATAATCCAGCTGTTACATTTACTGGTTACCCTTTATCTATCCTACCCATAACATCTTTTAAATTATTTACTGCACACGCTTTCCCCTTCATGAAGCCATGCTGACTCGCTTATGACTCGCCTACTGTGTTGTCAGTTATCAAACAAGAATTCTGGTAAATATCAACAGCATTGAAAGCTGGAAATTATAAACATTTCACTACCTCACCACCTACATGTAAAGATAACAGGGTACACTGTATATTTGATGCAGTGCAGCAATTTGTCAAGTCATTTTCAATTGCACCTTCCAACTCTGTAACTTCTACCTCCAGGAAGGGCAAGGAGTGCTTGTGTGGGACAGTATCCACAAGTTTTCCTCTAAGGCCAACACCATCCTGCCTCGGAACTGTGTCACCATTCCTTCACTGTTGCTGTGTCAATATCCTAGAAATCACTCCCTTCCTCATTGCACTGTTGGTGAACCTGCAACGTGTGGACTGCAACAGTTCAAGAAAGCAGCTCACTGATTCTCACCTTCTTGGTGGTGGATGGGCAACAGATGCTGGCCTAGCCAGCGACGACCACAAGTTTTCTTACTAATGGGCGTGGCACAGGGAATCCAATGAACTTAAATCCAGGGTTTCTTCAAGAAGATCTCTGACAATTAGTTTTTTAAAAAAGTCATTGTGTGAATAAATGCAATAATCTTGCACATTATGGTAATCAGTGCAGTTGTGATATCCTGAGCAAAAAGTGACTGACTTATCAAATGTGGTAAAGAAATACTTTATCACGAAGATATCTGCTGTGTATGGGGGAACTAAGAAGCTGAGATTGAATTAATTTACATATTGAATGTCAACTGTGATTCATTTGGAAGTAACTTGCCTCTGAGTCAGAAGACTGAGTTCAAGAGCCATTCCAGAGAGTTGAGCACATAAATCTAGGTTGATACTTCAGTGCCAAATGAGGGCGTACTGTACTGTCTTTTAGTTGACACATTACACAAAAACCATGCCAGCCACTCAAATAGACTTAATGGAGCTCATTACACTGCTTTTCTTAAGGGCAGACAGTTATCCCTTGATCGCCATCACAAAATTATAGATTTATCTAGTTGATTTTTATGTTTGTGGGATCACATTTACATTTTCCATATTGCAACAACCAAACTTCAGAAATAAGTTCTTTGGGTGTAAAGGCTGTGAACATCCTGTTCCTGTGAAAGCTGTATAAATGCGGATCTTTTTTCAAAGTATACAATAGTGAAAGTTCACAGTCACTTCACTTGTTTAAGCCATTATCGTGGAAATGCAGTGGAGAGCAATGGAGAAACCATTTTAAATTATCATTGGGTGTTTTGTTTAATGATTGGTGAGTTGATCGTCCTTTTAAAGCTTCCCGCTACCTTTGTCGCTGAGCTGTCCCTTTGGAATTTAAACAGTCACTATATGCTGTGCAATGCTAATGGCATCAGATGCCTTTCCCGTTATGAAAATCGGTGATTGTATTAATTGCTGCAGACAGCTGTACTGAAATAACTAAATACTGATTTGCATGCTGTCACACTCAAACCTGTGGCTTTCCACTCTCACCAATCAGCTCTTTGTTTCTCTTTCTCTGTCCTCTAGGTATTTTTGCTGGCTTACCCACAACCCCTCACCATGCTGTGCAACTTCCACATGCAGTTTTACCCACCCACATACAGCAGTCTCTTCAAGGTAATACAGCATGTTATGTGTGTCTCTTCACATCTGCATAACCCATCCGGATACTAGATACGTTTGTCATGCTCCACTTTTACTTTAGTGAAGCTAAATTTATGTACATTTTTGCCACCTTTGCCTTTTATTCTCGTGTTATTTTCTTTATTTCACCCACATCTGAATCTGGATGTTATGTGCTAATGTTCAGGGAATTTTAAGGGACAAAATCTGGTTATTGAGTGATTTGCAATTACAACTTCCAGATGTTTGTTTTTGTACTTCCTGGTATGGTTCGTAATCTTGTCTTACCCTTGAAATTTCATTGAGTTCGTTGTGATTTTCCAAAAGAGCTGCATTCACCAAATACTAAGAAATTTTGTACCACTGTCACTTATAATAGTAATTCTTTTCAAAATTTCAAACCGAACTTCTGTGATTGCACCAATACTACCTTTTTAGATTGAAGGATAGTTGTAGGACTGCAGCATATGCTTGCATTTAACCTACCTGAGTCATTTCTTAGACAATGTGTAGCGCAAGTGAGGTGCAGTCAGGATCAGTATTGTATCTGTCACATTACTGGACCTGAAGATAATTTACACTGGAATTTCACATGATGTATAGTGCATTTCTGTAAGTAAATCAGCATGAATCTTTGAGCCTTTAAAAGAGCTATATTATTTGGATTTCTGCAAGCACTATTTGATCCAAATCTTCAGTCAAAGATCTAGTTACATATTAATTTTTAAGTAGACTGCTTGAATTGAACCACCGAGTAACAAAATGAGGGAGTTTGAGGGACCCCTCTCCCAAACTATAAAGATGCAGGAACTGACTTTCAGGACTTAGAGATCTAATGAAGCTTGTTATCCCTGACTACATGTTAATTAATCTCCTCATTTTTGGGTTACATCTTCTCCAACATTCGCTCTTCAAACAAAATATGCAAATGTACATATTTAGTCTGTACAGCTAATCTGGAAGACATAATGTTGTTTGCAGATGTGAACGGAGTAACTTCAACAAAAATTAGGACTTGTAATTAACGCCACCAGAAGAGTTACTAAGCTCAATTCTTTCTCAGCTGAGAAGAGCATCAATACTGATACAGTGCCAACTTAAATAAGCATTCTAGAATCTTCAAATTTACTTCAATTTGAATAAAACTCTCCTTGTAGATAAATCGTTCCTTCACTGATGATTAAATCCATTAAGGATGAGCACTTCTGAACTTGCTATGAGCTTGAGTTTCCTTGGTCTGTCTTCAACCAAACCATAACACACAGATTGTAACTGCCTATTCACTAGAGTTCAAGAAATGATGACTGGTATAACATATCTTACAGAAGCAGATGTGTTTCTGAAATTTAGTTTAGATACTGGAAGAAGCTGCGTTTGTTCAGCTTGCTGAAGGCCAATTTCAGGTGGAAAAACCATCTTTCAGCACCTCTAAGTCCCAATTGCCTCTGAATTCTTTGTTTTTTTCTAAGTAGGACGTCTTTAATATTCATCAAAAATGATTTTTATTTTTCTTTTCCTCCCTCTTTCCTCCAAATACAGATGGCAACAAAATCCATGGGGAAGCTTCCAGCATGCAGCGCAAAATGCAGTGAGTTCTGTTACAAAGCACAGTCGAATGAAGCTAATGCTGCAGTGGTGGTGCAGCAAGGTCAGAGGGAACAGCCAAGTTGTAGGAGCTGCTAGGCTGAATGACCAACCTTGCATTTGCTCTTGTTTACGGATTAATTGCACCCTTTTAATTTTGGGGGCAAGGATACTAGTTGAAATCTGCTGTGTACCTTTGAGACTGATAAATACGAAGGGTTTGCTTCGATGGCAAAAGTCCCAGGGTGGCCAGGTGGATAGCTTGGAGGATTTCAAGTTGGTCTCGTGTCTGCTTAGATTCAGAACGTATAGAAAAGTATCTTCCACTGAATGCCTATGCAAGAACACTTTTAATATTGACACGGTAGGTGGTGGTCATTAGAGCAAAATTTTATGCAGTGCATTCCAGAGATTTAAGGCAGCTAGAGTGTTTCGGTTTGTTTCCATATTCTGTTTTATCCATTTATAAAATAATCCTGTGTTCAGCAATGGGCTTAAAGTTTTTGCATTTTCTTCAGGCAACAACTTGGAATGTGTACAGACACAGCAGCATTATCTGAGACACAGGCACGTGGTGGCGGGGTTGGGGTTGTCTCTCTGACATGTTTTGTGAAGTTGGGGTGAATTCATACAGATTCAGGATAAGCAGGATAGAAACGATTTAGCTCTATTTGACACAGTCAAACTCTGATGGAGTTTTCTGTTTTTAAAAGATGTTCAAGTTCCAGTTAGTGTAGAGTTCTTCAGAGCACTATGCATTGGATCAATTTAAAAAAAATTAAGTTAAATTGCTATTTATTGCCTGTAATGGCGAATTGTTTTCAAGGAGGATTTATACAGTGTATGATCTGCTTTGGTGGTGCACTGTGAACAGGACCACAACTCCTGCAACACTGTTGTGACTTTACTGTGCTAATAGGAGAGACGTGTATCTAGCACAAGAGAATGTGGAAAAAATTTTTTAAAAATCAGAACTGTGATGAGTTAATAAAAGATTCAAGGGAAAAGACTTATCAAAGAATTCGCTTAAGGTATCAATATTAACCATCTCAGTTGCAACATGGTAGCGACTAGTACTGATCAACTTGGTCTGGTGTCCAACAGTAAACAAAAAGAAAGCCATTAATCTCAGTCATGTACTCTTACAGCTCCTCGAGTTATTGTGAACCCAGGAATGAGTGTGGACTCATGACCTTTGGGTTTTGCCCCTGACAAGTATCATTGAACTCTTTTGTAATGATAACTATATACAGTATTGTAAAAGATACTGACAGTAAGAGTAATACATTTGCAGTGCCTTTCCTTGTAGTAGAGAAGATGGAAAGTACGTGCTGAGATTTCATGTATTCTTGATCCCTGTATGACACTAACCTTACTATTTATATTTTTTAAAAAAAAGGAAAATAAACTACAGGATTTGGGAAGTGATTTTTTTGTTTAAAAAGAGAATTCACCTATGGTTCATAATTTGGCACAATCTAGTTGATTAATGAGAACCATGGCGGCAGAGAAGCCAAAGATTTTTTTCATGCAAGATGAAGTAAGCTTGTGGAACATGGTCATGGGCAGATGGTTTGAAAGTTTTTTTTTTTTTTCTGACATTTTTCACAAGATTTTTAAGCAAAATGACATTTCATTTCTGGAGTGCTCCAGTCATATTTGATACTATGAGTGACTCACAGGCATAATAAATGTTCTACAGAAACTCAGGACTTGAAAATTGCTGGATCTGATTTTGTGTTAATGAAGTTTAGCTCTACTTGAAATTGTATAATCATTCTCAAACTCTGTAAATTGTGATGTGCTAGTAAGTTCAATTTGTTTTAATTAAAATAGGCATTGTTTTGAATGATGGTGCTTCATTGTATATTGTTTTATTTGAGACTTGTGTATGTATTTGCTGCAGGACAAGGAGTTGGTTGTTTCTGTTGCACATGGAGATGTCAATAAATTAGAAAATTTTGGACAAAACTGTAGTCAATGCTTGTGTCGTTTCTATGAAGAATATTTCTTATTTACAGTATTGAGAACAGTTTATTTGAACAGTCTTAAGAGCTTCAATATATTTGTTCCAGCCATTCATTTAGCAATCTGTTTATCGTCTTTTTTTTTGAAAAGCATTAGTTATGTTGTGACTAGATGTTCATCTGCTTTGCTCTGAGTTAATGGAAACAATCTAGGTTATACAGTTCAAACTAGATGATTGAATCGTAAATGAACTTTGACAAGTTAGTTATTTAAAAATAATTATTAGATCACGTAGAACACTTGGATCAACTTGGGAACACAGGAACAGGAGAAGGTCACTCAGCTCCTCAAGCCTGTATCACCATTCAGTGGGATCATGGCTGATCTGTGACAAACAGAGGGGAGGCAATGCCCTAGTGGTATTATCGGTGGACTGCTAACCCAAACAGCCAGATAATATGCTGGGGACCTGGGTTCGAATCCCTCTACGGCACATGGTGGAATTTGAATTCGATAAGTATCTGGAATTACGAGTCTAATGATTACCTTGAATTCATTGCTGATTGTTGGAAAACCCCATCTGGTTCATTAATGTCTTTTAGGGAAGGAAGCTGCCATCCTCATCTGGTCTGGCCTACATGTGACTCCAGGCTCACAGCAATGTGGTTGACTATTAAGTGCCTCCTGGGCAATTAGGGATGACCCTAATAACTAATCTGGCAATAGCTGCTGCCTAACCAGTGACAACCTCATCCTGTGAAAGAATAAAGGGAAAGAAAAAAACTCCATTTACCCTCTTACCCCAACTCTTCATACCTTTTTGGATAACGAAACTCTATCCATTTTACTGATGGATTAACAACTGATCTTGTATCAATTGCCATTTGCGAAAGACATCCAAACTTCTAAAAGTCTTTACAGATAAATGAATTTCTTAATTGTGCTTTAGAATCATCTGGTATTGGTTTCAAGACTGTCCCCAATCCAGAATCCCTCATCAGCAGAAAAGCTATGGCTGAATTTCTACCCATTTGTTTTGTTCCCCTTAATATCTTGAAAGGTTTGAATTAATCACCCTTTAATCTTCTCTCAATTCCAAGGAATGCAAACCCATTGTTGTATCTTTTATTTTCAATTTAACACCTGGACTTCAGGTATTATTTTGATTAAATCTACAGTTCACTCCCTGTATTGCATGTATCCTTTCACAGGTATGATGTCCAGAACTGATCACAGTAGTATAGATATGGTATAAACCCTTGGGGTGAACAGTTCAATGTATTTTTAAAAAAAGATAAAAATGTACTATTGCTTAGCAGCAGGGATCAAGTGACATACAGAGGAAGGCAGAGCAAACCAGAAAGTAGGCCTGTCTATACAGGTGTGTGAAGGACTGCTAGATGCTGGGTTTAGGGAACTCTGATAGTTGCTCTGAAATGTAAGTAACTGGTTTGCAGTTTGTTCTCGGTGTCTTAGAAAGCAATACCATGAAGGAATAAACCATCGACTTGCACAGAAATTCACCCAAAATGTAAGAAGTTGCAAATTTTGGAACTTAATAAATTTAGTAGAGACAGCTTTGAACTACCCAAATATTAATAATTTCTAACAAATGAGAACAAAAGGCAGGTTAGAACTCAAGGGGTCTTGTGGCACAGTAGAAAGTGTCCCTGTCTCTGGGCCTGAAGCTCCAGGTTCAAGTCTCACCTGCCCTGCAGGTACGTCATAAACGGCCCAAGCAGCTTGGTTAAAAACAAAGATCATGAAGATTCCCAAGCCACTGGCAGTTGGTGCTCCAAAGTGGGGTCTGTTCTCACAATGCAAGCTGGAGGTGGGCAAGGGGATATGACTGTTCTGACAGCATGCATAGCTGTCCCATGTCCATTGGCTAGAAGGATTCAAGTGGATGATTGACCTAGTGTAAACCATCAACCCTTCGAAACTGGGTGTGTAACCAAGTGTTCAGTCAGGGGCCAGTCCTGATCGGGTAGCAGTGTGCATCAAGCAGCCGTTGTCATCCGACGGAAGGTGGCCCAAAGAAGAGTTTGACACCACTTCAGCTAGAAAGTAGGATGCTGCCTTCATAACAATAATGTGATTAACAAACACTGCTAACGGTTTGCCCTTTGGTATCGGTGAATCATCCTCTGTTGTCATGAGTTGCATACCTTTTCTGTCTAATTAACTAAAGTGTTGTATCTAGACAATTTCTTTTAAACTTAAACAGTTAAAAATTGTTTATAAATAGTCAATTGCGTACTTCAATGATGTGGAGGTGCCGGTATTGGACTGGGCTGGAGAAAGGAGCAACGCTCCGAAACCTTGTGATTTCAAGTAAGCCTGTTGGGCTACAACCTGGTGTCATGTGACTTCTGACTTTGTCTCTTTCATAGATTCCCTACAGTGCAGAAAGATGCCATTCAGTCCATTGAGCCTGCGCTGACCCTCTGAAAAGCATCTCACCCAGATCCACCCCACCCCATCCTTTGTAACCCTACGCTTTCCATGGCTAATTCACCAAGCCTGCACATTCCTGCACACACCGGGCAATGTAGCATAGCCAATCCACCTAATCGGCACGACTTTGAATTATGAGAGGAAACCCACGCAGACACGGGGAGAACATGCAAACTCCACACAGACAGTCGCCCAAGGCTGGAATCGAACCCAGGTCCCTGGTGCTGTGAGGCTGCAGTGCTAACCGTTGTGGCCTGGAAACCCAAAACCTTAAAGAAACTAGTTGTAGCTGTACCAGACTGAATCTGGGGGGAAAAAACAATAGTGTTTACCCCTTTTCTTCAGCAAGATGCTTACAAAGCTCAGCAAAGGGTCATGTGAGCTCGAATCCTTATGTCTGTAAAGACATTTTTCCAACCTTTCATCTAGTGTAATCTAGCTCATTTTTTATTCTGTGTTTAATAAATGGTTTATTCCTTGTGTCAAACGTACACTTGGCAGCTTGTTGTGAACACATTCAGTAATTGATATCCATGGTTTTTAAAAATGTGGATCAAACCAGCCAGGTTTCCCTCTGGAAGCTGACTTGTTCAGTATAAACATCACGGAAGGCTCCTGCAAGGTTAAAAATCCTTGAATTCAAGAGGGATTTGTGAGTGTTTAAAGAAACTGGCGTTATGGAGGTAGTCGACTTAAGTATAGGAGTTGCAGCGAAGCACCCTATGCACGTTAAAATATTCAAATGGCTTTAATTCTACTAAGACTTCTCTGGGAGTAGAAATACAACAGTAGATTATTTGAAATCTTTGAAACTAAACTGGGGAAGCAGGTAATTTGGGAGCTAGTGATAAAAGCAGGATCTTCAAGGGATGATAATAATTGAGATAATTACCCAGCATTTAGACTTAAAAAGGAGAGAAATCAGCGATAGGCGTCACTGTTAGAATTGGCTGGTGAGACCACACCTGGAATACTGTGCACAGTTTTGGTCTCCTTTTCTGAGGAAGGATGCTCTTGCTCGCGAGGGAGTGCAGCAAAGGTTTACCAGGCCAATTCCGGGGATGGTGGGACTGATGTATGAGAAGAGATTGACTGGGTTGGGATTGTTTTCACTGGAGTTCAGATGAATGAGGGGTTGATCTCATAGAGTCTTATAAAATTTTAAAAGGACTGGACAGGGTAGTTGCAGGGAGCGTGTTCCCGATGGTGGGTGTGTCCAGAACTAGGGGTCATAGTTTGACGATTCGGGGTAAACCATTTAGGATGGAGATTAGGGATATTTCTTCACCCAAAAAGCGGTGAGCCTGTGGAAGTCATTACCACAGGAAGTAGTTGATGTCAAAACATTGAATGTATTCGAGAGGCGGCTAGATATAGCACTTGGGGCAAATGGGATCAAAGGTTATGGGGAGAAAGCAGGATTAGGCTATTGAGTTGGACGATCAGCCATGATCATGATGAATGGTGAAGCAGGCTCGAAGGGCCGAATGGCTGCCTCCTGCTTCTATCTTCTATGTTTCTATATTACAAATGAAGAGTCAGACAGCATGGAAACAGACCCTTCACTCCAACTAGTCCACACCAACCATGTTCCCAAACTAATCTAGTCCCACCTGCCAGTGTTTGCTCCATATCCCTCCAAACTTTTCCTATTCATGTACTTATCCAAATGTCTTTTAAACGTTGTAACTGTACTTGAATCCTCCACTTCTCTGGCAGTTCATTCCACACGCGAACCACTCTTTTTATAAAAAAAAAAAAAAAAAAAAAAATTGCTCTGCATGTCCTTTTTAAAACTTTCTCCTCTCACCCTAAAAATACGCCCCCTAGTTTTGAACTCCCCCACCCTAGGGAAAAGACCCTTGCTATTGACCTTATCCATGCCCCTCATGATTTTATAAATCTTTATAAGGTCACCTCTCAACCTCCTATGCTCCAGTGAAAAAAGTCCCAACCTATCCAGTCTATTTTTATAACTCAAACCCTCCATTCCTGCCAACATCTGGTAAATCTTTTCTGAACCCTCTCCAATTTAATAGTAATCTTCCTATAGCAGGGCAACCAGAACTGCACACTGTACTCCAGAAAAACCTCACCAATGCCCTGTATGACTGCAACATGACATCCCAGCTCCTACACTGAAGGCTAAATGCCTTCTTAACCATCCTGTCTACCTATGACACAAATTTTGAAAAATTTTATACCTGAGCCCATAGGTCTCTCTATTCTACAACACTACCCAGGGTCATACTATTAATTGTATAAGTTTTGCCCTTGTCCATTTTACCAAAATGCAATTTATCCAAATTAAACTCTACCTGCCACTCCTCAGCCCATTGAGTCCTCAATTCCAGGAGAAATAATAAGAAGAGGTTTAACAAGGGGGGAAAGAAACAAAGAAATAGAAATCAAAGAGCTTTAATAGACAAGAAGGAAGAAAGAAAATGAAAGGGAAATAGAATTTTAAAAACATGAACTCCAGAGAGAGACAGAACTCAAACAAAACCAGAAATTGCTAGAGAAACTCGGCAAGCATCTGTGGAGAG